GCTTCCGCTACTGTCAGTGAGCACACCGCTTCCCAGATGCCTTCGCCAAGCACGCTGAAACGAACAAGGTGGCGCCTCTCGATCGCTTTCGCCCATGAGCATTTCTGGGTCGGTTGTACGATAATGTTTTAGGAATTTTCTCTTCAAAACTACCCTCCACCTCTCTGCTCTCAATTTATCTTTTCTTGACTACCCCGTAGCATTTTTCTACTTTTAGTATAATAATGAAATTGTGAAGAATGGGTATGTGCACGCGCCATTTATGGCAACTGCGTTGGTGTCAATTTGGCCATATTTCTCGCTTGATAACTTAAAAGCCACACAAATATTGCAAGATGTTTTTGCAGATTCTGTTAGTACATATTATAAACGTTAATGTCGGAAAGTATAAAGAATATTGAAGATGGCCTTTTTAAAAAAAAATGATTTTCAAAATAAGGCAGATTTAGTTAAAAGGCCCTGTGTGAGCGATTCTTGTAAATTTCTCCCGCTAACCAGGACAACAATATTTAATGCACATATGAACCATGTATAGCGCAACACACGGGCAACGCTTGCAGACCTTAGCTTCTATAGATACGGAGAAAAAAATCTTTAATCCAGAGCTTTATTGCGCAATGTGACGTATTTGCGACTTTGCTTTTTAAAATAACGACCCTAATAGTCGGTGATTAATACTTTTTGTCGATGCTTCTTATTCCTAGTTTGTCAATAAATACTTCTAGACCCGTAGCCAGGACAACTTTTTGGGGAAGCAGCCCGAAATGGCTACATCGTGCGATGCGCAAAACGCACACGTGACTGAGAGGGTGCCTACCAATGTTTTTCGCAAAGACAAAACATTTTTTTCCAAAACAAGTATCGGTTTTATTTTTCCGCGCATGGAGCTAGCAAAATATTTTTTTCATCAAATTTAAAAATGGTCTCCGGACTTGGTTCTTCGATCTTATCTGAAAACGACCTGTAGCATATTTTCACAAATTCATAGTATTGCCGAGCCCGATCACCAGAACAAGCTTTAAACGCCGAATTTTTAATTCGTTTATTAGATCTTCTACGTGCTCTCATTACTTATTTCGTTTAATTAGTACAGATCGTTCATCTGCATTCTTATAGCATACATGTAGTGCATACAAAAAGGTATTTCCGCCTCTTTTCTTCATGTGCCAGAAAAAGGTTTAAAAATACATATGATCACAGAATAACAAAGGTGCATGTCAAGACAATAAAATATTCCATCGAGGTATATGCCAATAAGTATTTATTTTCTTGATGCAAATGTTACCCGCGTTGGCGTTCCTGCCACTGCCAATGCTCCAGATATTTGACGAGCTTCTTGAGGTCTTTCGTGGTGAGACCGTCGATCTGGCCATGTACTTCGAAGATACCTACGCTGGACGCCGAAGTGGCATCGAAGTTCAGACTGCCATGTTCCCAGAAAGCCTATGGTCGGCGCATGGTGCCGTGCAGCAAGATATGCAACGCACGAACAAAGCTGTCGAAGCCTGGCATCGAGGCTTCCAGATGCGTTACAGTTGCTTTGGTCCTGACAATTTTAATATGCTAGAGCCATTATTTGTTATATTTTATGTTAACCTACACTTGTTCTGTTTCTTGCTGCAGTCCGTCATCGACTGCTGTTTTCCCAACCTCTGGGCCTTCCTGAGGGGTCTAGAGGATGAAAAAGCACTACAAGAACTGGAGATGGCCCAGCTAGACGCGGGACAACCGCCGCCGCGTCTCGCACAGAAATATAAAGATGTGAATGAGCGGATATATAGAGTTCTAGAGGAGCACTTCACCGAATCTCATCTCTGCATGTTTGAAATATTGCTAGAAATATCCGGTTTTTAGTTCTATGACGTAATGGCCCGTGAAAGCTCAATAAAATTGCATTTGTCATTTGTACGTTCTAAACCGTGTGGTGGCATTTAGTTATATTTATTTAGATTTCAGCTTTATGTTTTAATCACAGCTGCCAACACGGCGTGTTAAATACTTCATAGGAATAAACGGAAGTAAATTCGTTGTTCTACAGTCAAACTCCACGCCGTGACGCGAGTGCTCCTTGTGACGATTATTCCGGCGTGACGACGATTCCTGGTACGAGATGCCCTGTGACGAGTTGGCCTCCCTGACGAGCTCACCTAGGACCAGTTGGCCTGTGACGACCGGGCTTGGAACGAGTTCTCCGAGAGCCGATAGAGCTCACTCGTGAACACTGGGTCATCGTTACCCACCACGTCATGTTTTCATTAATGCAAACAAGCATCTATGTAGCCCAGTGTTGTAGACGTTCCTCAAAAAGAGGAAAGCTGGTTCCTCATTCCTTTTGATTTTCGGAACGCCTTCCCGTTTCAAGTTCCATTTGTGAGAATGTTAATCGTCTTCGTTGCAGATTAAAAAATGGAACGTATCGCTACATATACGTTATTTTTCTATTTTGATAATTTCCATATTTAGTTAGGTTGAACGAACTTTTTTTTTTATTCGTATATCCTATCAAGTGGCAACATACGGAGTTACATGCCGTGATGGAAGGACACCAGGAGAAGGCAAGGACCGGAAGCACGGTTCTATATGTTGATATATTCAGTTTAAAAAAAAAAATCTGATTGGTTCACGACATCTATGCTTGTGGGGAGCAATTCAGACAAGCCAAATGTATGGGTTACCCAACATTCCACAAGCGTTTTACAACAACCTTACACGTTTCAATCTAACGAAGCCCTTTGTTCGAACTTAACAAAAGTTACTTCGAGATATTGCTGTCCGCAAGACAAGTAAGTGGAGAAGAGTGTAGTGCTTTTGGAAGTTCAGTCTTGAAAACTACCAGTCCTTCTTCGTGAAGGTTGAACTCGTTGTTCAGTTTAAAAATGGGGGAAAGGGGAGAGTGCATAAAGTTACACTTTTGTATTCCTTTCAAGTGACCAATCTCCGAGCTGCGAGGGTGCGTTCGATGTCTGGTTACCTGGTCTTTTGTTGTTGCTGTAGGTCTCTTAGTTGAAGTTCAGTAATGGCTATAGTCGGTCTTAGATTTCCGGGTGTATGTGGGTTCTTATAAGCAATAAAAGCAGCTAAGTCTGAAATACATCCCACATTTTGTGTCTTTTCCTTCAACTAAAAGTTTGGCTTTGTGTCAAAATCTTGGGCACCGAAATGTAAATTAATATCCACCAGCTGGCCGGCACCCGACTATGGCCGGCACCCGACAAGCGAGGACCCCGCAATATGAACCCTAAAATAAGTAACAAAAAGAGTTAATGAGACCCTTCTCTTCGTAAAGATATTGTTTTTATACTTGTTAAGCTTCCTCCTTAGAAATAAGATAAAAACAATTGCCTCCCCTACCTAAAAACCCAGTTTGATTTTTATCTGGAAACTAACTGGAAACCCGAAATCCAGAATGGGGAATCTGGATTCGCTTCTGGAAACGTCAGTTCCAGATTGGAGCATCTGGATTCGGTTCTGGAAACGTCAGTTCCAGATTGGAGAATCTGGATTCAATTCTGGAAACGTCAGTTCCAGATTGGAGAATCTGGATGCGGTTCTGGAAACGTCAGTTCCAGATTGGAGAATTTGGATTCGGTTCTGGAAATGTCAGTTCCAGAATGGAGCATCTGGATTCTGCTCTGGAAGTTTTCAGTTCCAGAATGGAGTTAGTGAACCATTACCTGAAAATTAAAATCCAGTTATGCCATGTGATAAAGTTAGTTTATGCAAATTGAAACGAATATTGAAAACAAAATGTGGTTCCTAGAAACCCGAATGTATCATAAAGACCCACTTAGCATAAATCTGCCGGAAAACCCTCAAGCATGCAGAAATATTTCGCTAAATAAAATACCTCGGATATGCATGTCGTTCGTATTTTTTTGGTCGTTGGGCTGTTCCTATCAATCTCTTGCAGTCATTGCGAGAGACATAGGGGGGAAGATTCAACTCCTCTCCCCCCCCCCTTCCCTTCCCCCTTGCAGCAAATGCCTGGTGCTGTTGCTGGGAGCAGCTAGATGGAGAGCTATATATATAGCTCCTGAGCAGTACACTGAATATACTGGCCCACCAAAGTGCAAATAGCTAAGGGAATTTAAGTTCTAGGTATTAGATTTGGAGGCGGAGTTGCCTAGACTATAAAGCATATATATATATATGCACACACACAACGGACATGGTGGCAGGAGGCCGAAGGCGTGGGTATATAACTGGGAAGAAACAAACCCTTGGTGAAAACAGCAACAACGGACAATTTATTCTTCGATGTTTCGGCGAAAGTCCAGCCTTCGTCAGCTTCCTGACGAAGGCTGGACTCCGGCCAAAACGTCGAAGAATAAATCATCCGTTGTTGCTGTTTTCACCAAGGGTTTTTTTTTCTTCCCACTTTATATATATATACCAGTCCCTGGAAACTTCAATTAACATAGAAAAACAAATGAAATTCCTGCCAACCAAAGCTTACAGTAGACCTAGAACTGAAAATGCTCAGCCCAGTGGATAGTTAAATTAAGGTAGAGCAGTCTTAGCTAAACGTCAACTTAGGTTTTTCCATGGTATCACCTACTGCTACTATGCCTTGTTATGCAGAGCTAAAAGCACTTTCTAGGCTGATTCATGCAAACTTGAAGAATGCAGCTGGCCCAACAAGTGCAGGAGGCATTTCTAGAAGCATTTAAATGAAAAAGTAATTGTTTTTTTTATAATGAAGTCACCAAACATTTTTACCTTATTGCAATCCATTAAAAGCAGTTAGCATCCTCTGTATTTGCTCTACATTTATTAGTATATTATGATTGATCTCGGAAATAAAATTTATCACTAGAACCCCCAAGACACTGAAAGGCCATGAGACACTATACATGAATTTAAAACAACTTGCACAAATGCTTAATTCAAGCAATAACCTCAAAGGACAACTCCCCCCCAAGAAATACATTGCTATATGTTTCAACGTGCACACTCAATACAATATTTATGTTGGAAAACACAGTAGACAGACATCAGTAACTACCTTGCTGATCAGTTTTATTTGTGCTAGAACAAGAGTTTTACAAGTACTTGTAGGTGTTACAAGACAAATCATTAAGTGAAGGACAAATCATTAAATAACAGTACAGTAATGAAGAGAGCCAGGAACTTATAACCCTCATACATAACCTATAGTTACTAAAACAATTAACTAGACAAAATTAACACAGAAGTATGAAAACAAAATCAATCAAATCATGATGTGAAATGCTACCAACAAAAGCCCACTTTGCGGTCCACAGATACAGAAGGTTGTTGAAGCTATTCAATTATGATGCAATGTGGACAGAATAACGAAAGGTCTAAGTCCATCTCAGATTTTTCAAGTTACATAATAACAAAAAAGTTATTTTCTTATATGCCTGCTTGCAGTTAAAACAAGCCTACCCTACTGCTACCCATACAAGCTTCACACGTTTCTGTCAAAAAGGTTAGGGAAAGACACATTAGCAGGCTGAGACATTGAGATGATTTACTCAAACAATGGCCATCTTCCACAGGTCGATAATCAAATTAGCCCGACTAGACTCAGAAGAGCAAATGAAGCACACAAAGTATAACACAATGTAAACAAAGAAAACCACTTATGAACGTAGAGTTACTTGCAGCAACACATTAGGAGCAAAACAAGAAGTCTGAAGATGTGAAAGATCCAATCTCTATAGATTTCCCTTGTTGAAACGACCAAAAAACAGGGATAAATTATAACAGGATGTAGTTTTGGATATTTCAACTCCTAGGGAATAGTTACTTTACTTCGGCACCCCCGGTACATTGCATCAATCGCGCTCAAGAAGGTTTGGCAGATCACAGACATAGCTTACTGAGGGCTGCCTGAAAGTGAGAAAAAGGCATGGTGCCTTCAGCTGCTGTGGTTTAACAGCCTGCAAGTTCACATGAGAAAGAAAACAAGGCTTGATGTGCTGTGGGAAGGGACCTGCACAAGTGATGATAACTTCCCTGCACAGAAGCGTTACCTCACCTTTCAAAGACAAAACCCTCAAAATGGCGAAATAGCACATATCCTTTGTTTGAAAGACAGAGGAGTCTGTCTTTTTACTCCTGGCATAGTTTCGGCTGTGAAAAATCTGCCCTTTCCATGCGAAGCGTTTGTACTCTGCAGCCTGATCAAAGGAGGCCCCAGACCCAGCGGAAAGACAACTCTGTTCCTCATTGCTCAATGATGCCTTCGAAGAGTAACCCAGCAGGCACACATCGTTTGCATATTTGAAGTTTTGGAGCTTAGGGTATCCCAGAATGTCACAGCACATCACTTTGACACTGTCACTTAGAAGCGAAGACTCCAACGTTTGATCCAACTGCTGCGACATCACAACCCTTTCTACAATCTGGCACGGAACAGCATTTGATCCTTTCACCAGCTTCACGAGCTGCCCGTTACCGCTTTCAAATTCAAAAGCAGAATGGCCCCACAGTGGCCCCAGTTGCCGCACCGCTTCCGCTAGATGGAGTAACTGGTGCAGGTTGAATGTCATTGCTGCAGCTCCATACAGCCTCCCAGTCATGCCCACAAAGGTCCGGAGGAGTTTCTCTGAAAGCACAGCATGACATTATTAGAGGGATACTTCAACGAAATATACCCGTCGGGTTCAAAAATAGGTTGAATATGATCCACAATATCCGTAAATGACAATCGCAAGTTTGTATATTGAGCCTGGTGGCTGTATTTCTAGTTATGAACGACCTACTCTGGCAAGCGCTCGGAGAGCAGCCAGCAGAGTGACATCCCCCGCGATTGTGACGTAGTTGGTCTCGAGACGAGCAAAGCTATTGCGAGGCTGACGTCGAGAGAATGGCCTAGCCGTTGCAGCCACCGAAGCGGCTGCTTTTGTACGAATTTTGAGCGACGGTTTAATCTTCTATAATCTTGTAGAGGGACAATAGCAACTTTTGAGACACACAAAAGAGATTCTCGGTAAGAGGGGAGTTCCGCCTTCCCCTCTTCTCTTGTGATGGCCGGAGGCGAGACAGGCATCGTCACTACCTGTCAAGGTTCCTAGACGAGCATTACAAACAAGGCATTAGCGACATCCACCAGGTGCTCTTTGGTAATTGTTTAATTTCTTTTACAATTCCCTTTCGTGTCTTTTTTAACATGATATTGGTGTGTCCAACGTGATACTGCTCCTTTGAACACATATACACCAAAACATTAGTGCCGAAATTTCGTTGTAGTATCCTTTAAGGCTGGCCCGAAGCAGGACACAAAGAAACCGAAGGGGGAAGTACTCACCAGCAACATCAATGGATGCTGGAGTTACAGTGTCCCTCAAAAGTGCATGGATGGCCTCCACCAGCTTCTTTATGTGCAGCCAGTATTGGTCCGGAAGGACCCCGTACATGCAGGGAAGCCAGTAGTACAGGAGCCAATGGCGCCATTCGGAAGCCTTCCAGAATGTCCGTGTGCTCAGTGCCCTTGGGAGTCTCGTGAAGCTGTGTGGTGGCTTGATTTCAGCCAGCCGGCTGTTGATGATAGCAAGAGAGGCAGTGTTTCCTGCAAAATAAAGAGTTACTAAATATATAAAAGCATTTGGCAGCCTGTTTTTGAAAATTGGAGCAGAATCTTTGGTACTTATCGATTAATATGGAACAATTGGCTTAGATAAATTATCCCTTATAAAAAGAGTGCAAATTCCATGTGCCATTACTCTGATAAAACATACACTTGGTTTTCTTATACAAATGTCTAGCTTTAAGGTGGAATCCTCCCAATATGTAAGTGAAATCAGTTCACACTGCCTGCTAAGGATGGCAAAAAGCGCAGCAAAAAAAATAATAGTTTAGATGAAACAAAGCACAAATTGCCTTGCGTGGTTTAGCTTCCCAGTTTTGCCCATGCTCTTTTCCCGCTTTAACTTCCTATGTTACACAATCCAGCCCAATTATTCGTCTTATTGCTCAGTGCGGTCAGTCTGCAGAAGTCTTACGAGGCTTCCCACCGAATTCACAAACCTCACTCCAATTGAGGCGCCCCTTTATTTCCTCAAGGAAGCCGAGGGGAAGTGGAGGGCGCCTCAAGTGAAGTGAGGTCTGTGAATTCGACGATTAGTCTTCACAATTCTTAGAGCTCTTTCACAAATTAATAAGCTATAGTTGGTTACAGGTTAAGAAGGTAGCGGCAAATGCCCCTCAAAGGGAATCAGATATCCCTCCGCCACCTCCGCATCCAATAGCGTCCCACCGTTTCCGCGACGTCGCGGCCAACGCGCGAGGAGGGTCTTGCCTTTCTGTACATATTTGCTTTATCTTTCGACTTTGACTTAGCATTGTGAAAGCCACGAGAGGGAGATTAGAGTTTTGCCCCTCCGATGGAAACAAATACGACTTTCGGGGATTAGCTTCCCCCTCCGATAAATACAAAGGCTGCTTTCAGGGGCTCGGTTCCCCCTGCAATAAATACAAAGGTCCCTTTCTCAAAAAGTGGCATCGGAGACAAGTGGGAATCCATTGAAGCGGAACAAGGAGCGTTTCCAGTGAGCTCTTCTTTCGAATGCGGAGGGATTTGAAACGGGCGCATCACGCTTGTGGGAGGAGCTTCTCCTACCTTCTTGACTTGTAACCGACTATAGTAAAGTACCTGGAAGCCACAATGACAGATGTAATAATCTGGTTCCAACTGGCTTGGTGTCTCACTGTTCTGTTGTGAAATCTCTAGAATTGTGTAGTGAACTGACATTATACCTCCTCCCCCTTTTCCTTCCTTGTGCTATAAGTTATTTAAAGTTTGTACAAATAGTTTTGAAATTGGCACCCTGAATTAAAAAGAATGAAACAGGAGATTTTCCTGATGTTTGCTGCCAAAGTCTCTTATTTAAGCTACCGTGACATACTGAGCATGCACCATTGTTGCATAACTGCCTACCCCATACTTTGGGACGTTTGAAAAGTAAGCAAAGAACATACAAAGGACTCCTATTAAACAAAAAGGAAAGAAGTCATTCCCAACGAGGAAGAAAATGCCATTGATGCTGATATACTTTATATAGTAAGCTGGCCTCCTCCGCTTCTTCCATGTGACAGGACTATGTAACACTGGACGTGAATGTCATTACATGATGTGAGAAGAGCCTTGAAGAACTTACAGCTGCAGTTTGAGTTGAGGGCAGTGCTCAAGTGACAAGTTTAGGCATTTGCCTATAAATGTCTAATGTAACGTTGTAGCCCAAATGCAGCCCAAAATTTGTTTCTAAACTTACCGACATAGTATCGCTCTTGAGAGTTGGAGGAGCTGAGGAGCAGTTCTGTGATCTGTCTGACCACCCCCAACAGCACGGCGTGCATGTATTCAACTGTGAACCCCCAAACAAGGTTGAAATGTGGGAGGTTCACAGCTGGTGATGGGCCAAAGTACCCATTGACGGGAAAGGTACCGCCCAAGCTCAGGGCCAATTTCATGTCCCTAAGGACACCTGCAGATGTCCGGGGGGTCGTGTCTTGCAGGTTGGTGTACCGCATGCTTCCTGCAAGATTACAATGGGGACAAAATTAAAATGTGCTATTTTTGACAGAATGTGATAACAAATAACAAAGTCAAAATCTTGCCATCGACCATACCGATTTTCACATAAAGTGTGGTTCGCAGCAAGCCTACATTCAGAAGTAGCCTCAAGCAGACATGCTTTGATTGCAATGGGAGCATTGGCTACATAGCTGCTCATGCTGTGGTAGTACATTTCCTTTGAGCAAAAATAAACATGATTACGTACTAATCTTAGTGGGCATTTTTAAGGTCGCAAACAAATGCATGCGGCGAGTTAGTACAGAGTTCATAGTAAGTCGATCTAATTTTTCTTGTCTCCGTCGTTGTGGCGTATTGAGGTGTCTGCTTCAATCAAAATTATACATGTGAATGTAAAATTTCATTATTTATGAATTATTATTAACGAAACAATTGTTTTGTTATTTACTATCTGATACGGGCAAGAGAAAAAAGAATGCTTAGTGCATAAGTGTGAACGTGGAGCAGTGCCCGTCAACAGCGTCAAAGGTGTTGCCGAGATAAAAACAGACGATTGATGCACACTGCGAGAAAACTGAAACACTGCATGCTCCCACTCCCAGGATGCACCTAGGCGTTCTAGTTTCGCCTATAGCCCATTGAAAAAACATGGTCTCTTTGCGCGTTTGCGGTTCAAGTACCATAGAAAGCAATTATGTTATTTTAGAAACACGGGCAAACAATGACATGTGAGCAGTTGATTGAGAGTACATAGCCGACAATGGCCCATCACAGCGATTTACTACTGGCGCACCCAGAGTCAAAATTCCGAGCCGGCCGTAACGTTACGATAAACAAGGTCCATTTCCGATGCATGAGCTTTTTGTGCATGCACCCCTTCGTACTTCATGTAAGACATTGTCACATCAAAATGTAGACGACTTAGCAACAGTCCTACCATGAAATCGATAGGACACACACTCCACAGTCCGCTTCACAGAGGCATTGGAAAAGGGAGGGGGGAGGAGGGGGCGGCGATTGTTTTACCAGACATTTCAGTTTTATAGTAAACAAAAGAAGGGAAGGAGGCGGTTAAACCCCCTTCCCGCCTACCCATTCCGCCACCCAATCTCCATCTCCCAAAGAGTTCCGCCGCCAGTACCGCTTCATGACATTAGGCACGAAACACCAACATGCTACAGCAAGGTAATATCTTATCTTGCACAACAACAGCCGACAACCAATGAGCTACCATATTCAGGCACAAAGCCAAAGCACTAGTGTAATACAGTATGCTCAAATTTGGTATTTGCAATGAAATGTATCTAGACTGGATATACACTGCATGACACAGTTAGCACGAACACGGTATTAGCGCTCTTCCACATTTTGCCGAATCAAGGTACGCTGACACACAAGCTCGAAATAAGTGGTCTCCACTACACAGGTAGTTTTGACAGCAGCAATATAATTTTTGAACAGCAAAACTCGGTGATTACTTGTTTGTGATAACAGTGTTGCGCTGTGTACCTGAATGGTGAATGCCAGTTCAGACATTTGTTGAAGAACGACGGATTGAGTTACAACCACTTGCGACGAGACGCTACTACGACAGTGCTTCCCAAACTGTGGCACGCTACTCCCAGGGGGTGGTCGGGAACAAATTAAAAATACATTCTTGAGCCATGCTGCATGCTATTCTGCATAGCAAAGAGCTCATAGACGCGGACCCCAATGTCTTTTTCTGCATTAGAAGAGCACAGTGACATGCAAGCTTCCAGGCATGACACAAAAAAACAAAAAAACAATGGCCCAGGCTACGTCGTCTACTCTGGTGCATCATGCAGTGCCACTTTCATTGTATAATCCAGACGTTTGTGGTGGCAAAATGGAGAGACTTTCAAAGTTGCAGGAGGTATGTACAGGGCATGACCCTAAAACCAGCATACCTGGCAGGCCTTGCAAAAGTCGAGTTTCTAACGTGCCTACCTTAAATTTGCCATGCGAACGTCGTTTTGCAAAAAGTAGAGGTGGTGAAGTCTAAGAAAAATTTATCGGCTATTTAGGCTTTTGTGTTCAAAGCTTGGGATCCGCCCGCCATCTCTCCTTCTTCGCTGCGCATTCTGGAGTCCAAAACACCGGATCTGCATCAGATTGCCGCTTGAGTCGCAATGAGTGGCATTCCCTGCACGCACTTCGGAATTTTGCCAATGTTGTCGATTTCGTTCCTTTTTCCGCTCTAAGTTCCGCTTCTCGGATGCAGAGCATACTTTATGTGTGCGAGTCATCCGCAATGCATTTACATAAAGAACCATTGGATGACGTCCCCATAGCTGCTTACATTAGAGTCACCTGCCACTCCCGTGAATAATCGTTTGAGATGCTAGCACCGCCCCGTAGACACCCATGCAAACGTCCTTAAGTGGCAACAAGGAGTGCTTGGGAAGAATGCCGAAAGTGAAGCGCAACCGACGGCGCGAAACTGCAAAGTATCCCCCTAGCTTTTGTTGCAGTAATAAACAAAAAACGATATGCAAGATTTTCCTATGGCTTATATTGACTTCTTTACTGTATGAAAACTGGCTGATGAAGGTGGCATTCTGAGTGAAAGAATGCTGAGAACACTGACAGAGGCTGGCGACAATTGCAAGAAACAATGACTTTAAAGAAATATGATTTTAATGAGCACCAGCCGCAGCCTGTATGTGTGTAGCTGTCATGGAGGAGGGATCAAGGCAAGCTTAGTTACATACTTGGCGGCTTGCAGGCTAGAATAGTTTGGGGAGCACTGTACGACGGGTTACTGTGGCAACTAAGCATAATGGAACACAACTTAATGCAGTGCAGTCAATGCAAATGTCTGAACCGGCCTTAAACATACTTCGTACTTGTCTAGATTAAAAAATAATCTACTAATGTTTTCTACAGCGAGCTACTTGTCTTACCATCCAGGTGCTCCCCTCTTGTTAGGCACCACGGGCACCCGATGTACCCGTTAAACAGAGTGCAGTTCTGCACAGCTGCTCTTGCGGGGGCGTCCAGGCACCAGCACAGGATGTACGCCCGAGAGGCATGACTCAGCCCGTCATGCTCCCACACCACAGGATCCATGGAGTTGAGTCCATCAACAAACTGTTCCAAAAACAGGGCCATGTTAGGATGGCCCTTCCCAAACCAGAGCCCCGCAAGTGTACAGTGCTTGAACCTCTCCGGTGCAGGCAGTTCATTCACCAGAAACTGAATAGGCCAAACTGAAGCGCCCGACGATGAGAACACTGGGCTGCCATCCGTGTTTACAGTTAGTGTGACATCATCATTGTTCAATGTCCCTGAACTTCTCATCTCCCGGCAGGCTCGACCTTCTGTGACATCAGAGATATCACCAGGAGGAGGGGGAACCTTTGTCAGGGCGTCTTGAAGGAATGTCTTGGTCTTCGTTATTACATGCTGCAGCTGGTCATGCATATTTAGCGTCACGAAGAAGGCACCCTCATTCTTTAGTTGCCGAGCACTGGTACGGTGACTGCAGGTTCGGCACATCAATTCTTCACTGTCAGGTGTTCCAGTCATGCGGTCAGAGCAGCATGTGCAGTAGAAATGATACTGGATCAGGGCATCAGTCTGTTTTGTCCATAACTTTCTGAACAAATACTTGCTTCGAGGCAGAACATCTGCAGCTGGTGCAAACATGGTATTTATGACTACTAGGAGATTGTCGAGGTCGGCCCAGCTTAGCCCGCCAGCAAACATTAATGACATCACCATGGCAACTGCCTCCCCCTTGGTGGTACAAGAGTGGGGTAAGCCTTCCCTGCCCAATTCTCTGAGGGCGGACGTCAGTGCATTTGTGGCTGTCGCCGCACCAGCTCGAGGAAGATCACCGCCGCTTGGTTCTGCACTCGGGAAGCTTGTCGATTCGACATCTACGTCGCCCAATTCCAGCTCGTCACTTGCAATGTCACTTTCAGAGATATGCCCCACTGAAGTATCATGTCCGCTGGAGCCGACATCGCAGGTATCGGAGGCTGCATCGCCACTGTCCTGGCTGCTGCCGAGGCCACTTAGTCCTTCCTTTCTAATGCGAGACAACGTTGACTTGGGGATAGAAGGAGATCCACCCTTCTCCATGTACACCAGCCGCCTGCGTCGCGTTGGCGGCGCGTCCGCCATGTAGGTAGAAGATGAATGAACCAACGTAAGGAGGCACAAAAAAAGAAAAAAAAAGCCCAACTGCGATTAAAAAAAAAAAACGTCCAACGCCGCGTGGCCGCGTTGAGAGCACAACCAACGGCTCACCACAGCCCACATCAAGACAGCGCCGACGTCACGGTCGCGAGCATTGCTGGATAGATAAACCACAGAGCCGTCAGAGCCGTATATGAGAGCCGTGTATGCGTAGGGGTTAATTAAAATTTTTTTAAATGGACGACGTTTAGCGTCACCTAGCTACTCAATGACTACGAATTCTGAATACCCTAAATACAAATACGCAGGGCTCAACTTTGATACTCCTGTGAGAATGCTGCTGGTTTTTCGCCGAATGAAGTAACAAGAAGCGGACGTTTGGCAAAAAAAGTACATATAGGGCTCATGGTGACCAAATTTCTGTTGTGGTTCACTGGTACTAGACAGGATTATTGAAATTGAGCTCAAAGATGCAATCGTGGGGTAAGGTGGCTAAGCCACGTCTAACTGCGTTTGTATACGCACGCGCAATATCCGGCGTTTCGTGAACCAAAGAAAGTGCTCCGGTATTCGTTTTGTATCGCTCGGGGATGAGGGTATTGTACATTCGTGAAAAGTCAGATAATCGAAAACGCAAGCAGCGTATTCGGCCACGGTGTCATGACAAGGAATGATGCTGCTTAATCGAAACCGAGACTGAGTGGCTAGTGCACTGGGTGGTACACGTTGGGACGCTTCGATGTTGGAAGAAGTCTATAGACCTTTTCACCCTCCGTCGCATGGGCGCTGCCATCTTGGAATCACGTGATGGGTCCGCCATTAGGTTGCTTCAACTTGTTGCTCCGCTCTCCCGTCCGCGCCTTGGCGGATGCGTTGAATTCGTGTTTTTCGTCGCGTTTCACCACGTCTCTTGCAAGTTGCCTTACTCCGTAAAGTGTCTTCCGATGCTTATACGTACCATGCAATTGCATTACATTATTATGCGCGCAACTTCTGTAGTTGGTTTTGTTACACGTTTTGAATATTTCTTTTTACCGTCGGCGTGCGGGATACCTGTGAAAAGGTTTTATAGGAACAGGAATCGGCGTTAGCACTTGCGCACATTGAATACATATATGACTTGAAGAGAGCCTCGAGGGTTCAAATACCAATAACTTATGAGAACTGAGGTTTGGTTACTAATAAGGGCCGAACATTTGCAAGAGGAAACCCAATGTTCTTGTATACATGAGTGCGCATTGGTGTCAAGGAAGGAAATAAAAACACTCAGCGTAATTAGCCACGTGTTTTTCCTCAAAACATTGTAGTACAACAGATCGAAAACAGTTTCTTTTGATTACACTAGGGAACTAGTGGACAAGACGCGGGAACAAACATTTAGTTTGAATTATTTTTAATGCTAGGAATAATGGCACCTTAACATTAGGCAACTTGTTTGTTCGCAATATCACACCTATATCTGTTTCACGTTCTTAATCGCATGTGTGATATAAGCATTCGCTTTATCGGTTTATTTAGGAATTCCACGGAATTGTATATCGTGCTTGGTCCCATGTTCATAATGTTTCAGTTGCTTGAGTCATTTTTTTAAATATAACCATGTAGTTTCAATTAATTTATTTCAACACAAATATTTGAACTTCCCACGTAAGAAACTGTCACAGACAGCTTGATAGTGCCTATGATTCACAAAGTGCTGCGCCGAAAAGAATCGTTTTGCATGAAAATCATTCGAGTGCAGCCGGTTGTCGACGGCGAATAGGGATTTACTTTCAGCAGCTGGCGACGTCAAAATGTGCAAAGCGCATCGCTTCAAATCAGTGAACAGCTTTCTACACAGGTCCATTGTGTGTGGCGCCTGGCATTCGACTTGAGCCAAGCTTATCGGAGATAATTTCTTTTGCGCTCTTCAATTTCATTCGGCAAATTTAACGGAAGATGAATATCAGACATTATTTGAAGTCTGGCATTCACTTATCTTACGATTCTCATACCTTGAGAACGTCATAAGCAAATGTTCATATAACAAAAAGTTTATTTCATAAGGCCAATATTTTGAAACGCTGTAAATGAGAACTTTAGTTAAAGAAATTTTGCAGTCAGCCTAGGCTGGTCTATCAATATATGTCTCGAGCGCTTAATTTCTTTAAATAACACAGGCCGAGACAATATCACTTTTTTTTATATTGTCTACGTGATTATATGAAACTTTTCTAGTCATTATAAAAGACGTTTCGAGTCTCGAAAGTTAAAAAAAGGTTGGCGTACGGAAACCAAACATCGAACAGTAAACTTGTCAGTTCATCTGTTCTTGGTGATTCAGCAGATTGTTAATCATGTTGTCGACCAGCTTTTTCGCTAAGCACTCATGCAATATAGTCTGTTGCAATATAAGATGATCAGTTCGATATCTGACTTGAGCGCGAGCTATCTACCTTCCGCACCGCTCGGTGCACGCACAGCCAAAGCACGGCGGCAGGCAACGAGCGCACGCTGCAGGCGGAGCTTGTCCTGCTCTTTTTCTTTTCTTAAAATTAGTGTCCCCGGGTACGGATGTGGACAATGGTGCTCCTCCCTGTGCATCAGCACAGTTGTTTCACCGCCGAACCTGGCCGAAATTAACGATGGACGGAATCAGACGCATATAGTGTTTGTAAAAAAAGATCGCAATTTAGGCTCGAAACCACTTCGTGGTTTGCCAAGTGGCTCAATACTATTGTTGCATTCGCTGTGTGCTACTGGAAAGAAATTCATATCGTAAAATTAATCGAAAGTGACATGAAACCGCATCACAATCGCGTGCACGTTGAAACCGAAACCGACCAAATTGAAGCAACCTCATGGCGGCGAGTGCGCGAGCGCCCTCTACCCGCCGGTCAAGCAACTACTGAAATGAAAAGGTCTATTGAAATCTTCATGTGTAAACGCGAAAAATGTGTATTCGAGGTAAGTTGTGTAAATGTTTTATATGGGACTAGTAAAAGACGTATTCAATAATGGCATGTAAAAAAAATCCGCAACTGAACGTACCTAGTTGAAACTTGCATCAAATACGTTATTTACTACTACCATCTACAAATTAAAAATGCAAGTCTCTACTTTACGTGCAAACCAAATAAAAAAAATAACAAATCCATTTGGGGCACATTTTTATTTTTTTTTTTATTTTTTCTAATAGGAATTGAGTCTTAAAATTTAAATGTGTAAATTGGACAAGTAAAAGACGTATTCGAGGTAAGTTTCTATTTGATACGTTGAGTTCCTGATTTTAGTGTCGAAACTTTATTTTGAAACACACTGGGTCAAATCAAAACCAATAATTTTGCGAAAAAAGTAAAAACAAATACGCATTTAAGAGCGATGATATAATATTACTGTAATAATTAACTTTTAGAACCAAGTATATGCTTTTTGTAATGGGTAGTATTTAATCGTGGAAATAATTTTTTGCGCCGCCCGAATTTATATACTTGCATATCCAATCCAAGCCAAAGTCATAGCCCGGTTTATGCACGTGCTGGCACTTACGCGTTTGTTTTGGTCAAGTTCTTTGTGCAAGTTCAACCGTTCGCTATGTTTGCGCTTGTTAAATACAAAGATAATCACCGAGCGATAATGCCGGTTTCTCTAATAGAGAATTTCGCTCCAAAATGTACTTCAGACATACCTCAGAAAGTTGTTAGTGCGTATTGGTGCGGCAGTGATGGAGAAGAAGAGGGATATTACGATGCAAACGTCGTACTTCTTGGAGGTAAGAAATCGTCTTTTCTAACGACTAATTTTTTTTGTCTTGCTTTGTTGCCTGGTCATTTAGAGCCCTGTGCGCCATGAGAATAATGATCTTTTCATTCTGGAACTGGCGGACCGTAAGGTCGAGATGTTCCCTGTCTGTACCCTGCCGAGGAGGCAGCCCGGCACTTGGCTGTGTGGAAGTTGTGTAAATGAACACCTATAAACTATGAACCGATGTTCAGGCCGCGACCGACTTTCAGGCGCCATAGAGCATTGGCGAAATTGCCCCTCTACAGCGCTGTAACAAATCGGAATAATCTCGGGCTTAGCCTATGATGTAACTTGGCTCCTAAACTTCTTTGTTCCTATTCGTTCTGTGGATATTATAAGCCCATACTTTTAAGGCTGTAGTCTACAGTGCCGTCCGACCCCCCCGCCCCACCCCGCCGGCCCCCATGCACCTCCGGAAGGGAAGTCACATATTTTTTTGTTCAGCGAAGTTTCGTCGACAACATTCGTTTATTTTCAGTGTTAATCGTAAATTAAAATAAAAAAAAAATGCTCGACAGAAAAAAAAAAATTAAGCCTGTACTGAGGCAGACATCTTACCACGCTTTGAAAATTTTGTTTTGACAATGCGTTTTACACTAAACTTTTGGACGGCACTTCAACGTGTGAGTGGATTACCTGGACGACACTTGAACGCTCTGCAAGAGTGCCGTCGGATGGTACTCTAGGCACTACATATTTTTTTAATTCCAATAAGCCATTACTTTTATTTTGATTGACCAGCTGCTTATTGGTGGTTGGTCTTTGCCTTGCGTCAATGCCTCAAAGATATCTATTTT